GTGCTATACAAGGTGCAGTCCCTGACTCTTCTCCCTATGTACTCTCCTCATCAACAACCTTACCTCCCACAGCATCTATTTGGATAACTCCCCAAATCTGCCAACTCTAGTACTTATCTCCTCCTAAACTTAAGGACTGAATTTCCAGTTGCTACCAGATATAATACCTAAAACTAAAAATGTCAAGAAAGCAATATTTTCCTATCACAGAGGTGTCATTTTACTATTTATGTGAAGATTTGGAGGGGGAAAGGCTGGAGGGATCAGAGAGCACATTTATTTTTTAAAAAATTTTTACTTATTTATTAGAGAGAGAGAGAGCATGAGCCGGGGGAGGGGCAGAGGGAGAAGTAGATTCCCTGTGGAGCAGGGAGCCCTACGCAGGGCTCGATCCCAGGACCCTGAGATAATGACCTGAGCTGAAGGCAGATGCTTAACGGACTGAGCCACCCAGGTGCCCCAGAGAGCACATTTAAATAGTCAATTTTACTAAATCAACCTTGAGGTACATAAAAGTTATGCTTGAATGTTGAGCATGGAAAATAAGAGACAATTCTAAGAAATTCTTCAAGTCAAAATATAGGCAAGGAATTGTATTAAATTACATTGTGTTTACCACAATTTGAATATGATCCCAAGATTTGGAGCCTTAATAGTGGAAAGCTAGTAGTGTCTAAAGTATACTGTTGATGTCTGAGAGGATGGTAAACCAAGTTCACTTAAAAGTCAATTTTTTTTTTTGTAACAAGTAATATTTTTATTTGTAGATCAAGCACCCTTTACCCCACCTTTTCCGAATTCTAGAAGCAGAGATTAAAAAAGAAGGAGGTAATGTTTATGGATCATTATTTGGCTCCTATCTAATTAATCAAAACAAGACTGATCACAGGAATTTCCCCTACCTTGTAGATGAGGAAACTGAAGACAGGAGAAATTAGGTAGGTTAGTTTCTCACAGTGAGACAATGTGAAAGTTTCTAGATTCAGTCTTTAATTGAATTTGCTACTAAGCTGCACCTTACCTGCACCTACACTGTCTTAGTTTCTGATTAGCTTGCTATAGTATAGGCAGCAGATCAGGGTAAACAAATTCATCCGAAACAAAGCAACAATCCAAGTAGTATACCACAGCAAACCAGCACCTCTTTCTGCCTTCATTAATGCCAACAGTATTCTACCTCACAACAGACTTAAAACCTTGGAGTCATCTTTGACTATCTTCTCTCATAACTAATGCTAAATCCCATTGATTCTTCCTTAATTCTGTCTCTCATATCCATTGCTTCTTACCCCTTCCTACCAACAACATCCTAGTTCATTACCTATTTTTTAGGTCATTTTGAAGACTTAGTAATACTCTCCCTGCCACTAATCTCTCCTTCAACCAACCATACATACTGCTCCCAATATGAATTCAAGAGCCATTGTGGTGTAGTGGTTGAGAGTCTGGGTTATGTGACCTGAATGCCTGAGTTCAAATCTCTAGGTCTTTAACATACAACTTGATTTTGCATAAATCACTTAGTATTTCTGTGCCTCACTTTCCTAATCTTAAGTCAAACAGAGAAAGACATGTATCATATGATCTCACTGATATGAGGAATTCTTAATCGCAGGAAACAAACTGAGGGTTGCTGGAGTGGGGGGTGGGGTGGGAGGGATGGGGTGACTGGGTGATAGACACTGGGGAGGGTATGTGCTCTGGTAAGCACTGTGAATTGTGCAAGACTGTTGAATCTCAGATCTGTACCTCTGAAACAAATAATGCAATATATGTTAAGAAAAAAAAAAAAGAAGAAGAAGAAGGTAGCGGGAGGGGAAGAATGAAGCGGGGGAAATCGGAGGGGTAGACGAACCATGAGAGACGATGGACTCTGAAAAACAAACTGAGGGTTCTAGAGGGGAGGGGGGTGGGAGGATGGGTTAGCCTGGTGGTGGGTATTGAGGAGGGCACGTTCTGCATGGAGCACTGGGTGTTATGCACAAACAATGAATCATGGAACACTACATCTAAAACTAATGATGGGGATTAACATAAGAATAAAAAAATAAAAAGAAAAAAAAAAGAATGAGACTAATGCTAATAACCTTCTCCTAGGATTGTTTTGAGACTCAAATCAGTTAATACATATTTGTAATATATATGCAGAAAAATGTTTGGCACAAAGAACTTAATAAACGTTAATCATTGTTATTTTACTATTATTATGCAATTACACTTTTGGTCACATTATTTCAGTCAGAGGTGGTATTAAAAAAAGAGGTTAAATCCATTCTGTCTGGATCTGTAGGCCAAAGATTGAAATACAAACCCCAGAAAGGGTAAAAATATGAATGAAGACAAGTAGTATTAGACTTGAAGTGAGACTAAAAATCCATGTAAGCAGAAGGGTTTAAATTACTTGTTCATCTGGGACTAAGGCCACCCTGGTGAACCTGCAAGCCCTACAAAGCATGACCAGAAGGGCAGTCACGTACATCATGACTAGCACTTGGTCAGAGTAGCTCTAGGGCTTTTTTTTAACCATCAGAGAGATTGAAAAACTATCCCTTCCACACGTAAAATGATAGAAACGTGTATGTGCAAATGATGCCAGTTACCAATGAAAACAAAGGAAAAATAAAGTGGGGAGGGATTTGGAGAGAGTGGTAGAGGCATAAAGAAAGGCAGAAAAACATATAGAAACTTAGATTCCCATGCAAACATATACAAAGAGATTTCTGCATTCATGGAGATAAAGAGTTTTATATGGTTAGCTTCCAATTTCATGACCTTTACATGGACTCTTTGGGTACTTCAGTCCAAATTTTTTTTTTTTTTCCAAATTTTGCCCCTAGGGATATACCTTGTGTATTCCTAACTATAAACCTTTTCTCATACTGTATTCTTTCTACACCTTCCTTTTGGCTCCTGTTTGTTCCCTCTCTGTCTCAATCTCTCTCTGTCATTTGTTTTTCTGTCCATTCATATTACCTCTATTGTGAAGTCTTCATTAAACATTGTAGTCATAAGAGTTTAAAGTTTTGGGGCACCTGAGTGGCTCATTCGGTTAAGTGTTCAACTCTTGGTTTCAGCTCAGGTCATGATCTTGGGGCTGTGAGACTGAGTCCCATGTCAGGCTCTGCACTCAGAGTGGAGTCTGCTTGACATTCTCTCTCTTGTTCTCCCTCTGCTGTGCGCTCCCCGCGCCCCCGCTTGCTCGTATGCCCTCTCTCTCTCAAATAAATAAAATCTTTAAAACAGGAGTTTAAAGTTTTCCTTCAGCACACATCTCTAGCACTTAATTTCTGTTTACCCATCTAGAATCATATGCTAGTTTTATCAGTAGCTATAGTTTTCAAGTGACTGTGTTATGAGTTTTAGGCTATATTGGAAACTTGTGATTTGGTGGTATGTCTTATACTTACCATGGGAGTGATGAAGAAACTGTAGGATGGTTTGTATAATATTACCCCGATCATATAAAAAAAAAAGCTATTGAGAAGTAGTAATAAGATCTACATAAATATAGTAACAGGTCAATATTCCCAGCATACTTTTGTACATCGCCTATAAAGAGCATAAGAGCATATAGAGGGATTAGCAGAAGGCAAAGGTTAATCTTTAGAGAGGCAGACACCCAATGTTAATGGGCAAGTTCATTTCAAAGAAGAAAAATTATGAACTTTTGCCTTCCTTCCATATTAGAGCAGATATGATGTATTCAACAGCTCATTTGCTTCTTTTTTTTTTATTATGTTATGTTAGCCACCATACAGTTCATCATTAGTTTTTGGTGTAGTGTTCCATGATTCATTGTTTGCGTGTAACACCCAGTGCATCATGCAATACATGCCCTTCTTAATACCCATCACTGGGCTAGCTCATTTGCTGCTTTTGAAGAGCACTTTGTGGCTTAAGGACTTTTGTTTATGTTGTCAAATTCTTTTCATGTTTATATTCAAGAAACTAAGCTATAAGTACAAAAAAATATATAATTAGGACTATTAATTTCTTTTGGGGTGCCTGAATGGCTCAGTCGGGTAAGTGTCCGACTCTTGATCTCAGCTCAGGTTTTTATCTCAGGGTCATGGGTTCAAGCCCCAAATTGGGCTCCGCACACAGTGTGGAGCCTACTAAAGGAAAAAAAAAATATATTTTCATTTGTGTGTGCTTGCGTATGTTCATATGTGTCTAATCCCACCCCCACCTCTGTCTCAGAATTCATTTGGTGAATGAAAGCTAATTAAATGACTTGGAGTTATAGGAAATTAATGGCTAAAAGAATTTATTACCATAGGAGCTATACCAAAGGGAACAGAGAATGTGCACCAATCCTTTGAAACAAGTAATAAAAACCTAAGTTGAACTGTTTTACAGAAAACCAATATAGAATTCTTGAATACTGTACTTAAAAGTAAGCTCATGGATTTTACTATAACCTAATTATTTAACATCAACATTCTGTCAAGTAGGGGAAATTCTTTAGAGCATATGTAAATATTTAATATATATGATGCATAGAAATCATAGGTTTAAAAATTATTAAATGTTCAATTAGAGCTAGTCCTCTGATTTCAAATAGCATAATAATAGTAATTTCTTAGGAAATGTGGTTCCACTTACATTTCCTGTCATCATGTACATCTTTTATCTGTGGCCGAACTATTCACTCAACTCAATTTCATGTTTGTAAATTTTCATAGTTCACCTCAGGGACAATTGGTAGTTTAAATGCTACTGATGACTAATGATTATGCAGTTAAAAAATAGCAACTATTTAGCTTCAATAATATTTTCTTACTGTTATAAGGATGATTTATTTAAAACTGAACAGCTAACTATTATTAAACTTTGATAAAAATATTCCTTTGGAATGTCTAAAAACAAAACAATTCCTAAACCCAGAAAGAATTCATTTTATGCAGAAATTTTAGTCCTGTGTATAAAATTATGCCTACTGGAAAATGAAACAACAGGCTTTATATATACGTTCTTACAGAGCATTTCTTATCTTACAGATGAGCTCAGTGAAAATGTTACAGCCTCGTCTCGAAAACATTCTTTTCAAGCTCACTTTTGAAGAACATGTAAACAACATCAAACCAAGCATCATAGCAGTAACTCTTGCCTGTGAAGAACTGAAGAAAAGTGAAAGCTTTAACAGACTTTTAGAATTAGTTCTTTTGGTTGGAAACTACATGAACTCAGGCTCAAGAAATGCCCAGTCTTTGGGTTTTAAAATCAACTTCCTTTGTAAGGTAAGATAACATTTTATAATGCTAATTTACAATAATAATCTCATCTGTGAGAGAGATCACTCTAAATTGGCAATAGTACATAAGCAAAAAAAAAAAGTATGCTTTAAAAGGGTGAATGTTGTGGTAAGTGAATTAAATCTCAATTAAAACAGATAAATATATGTATTTTTAATTTTAGTGCCGTAAAATCTCAAAGACAATGCAAATTCTGTGGTAGTATAGTACTAAACTCCTCTGATCAGATCTTACTGGAGTTTGTAAATTTAAAAAAAATTTCCTTTTATAAAGTAGATGCCATATTGTATTTCAATTCCCTTGTACTTATTTAATGTCTCTCTAAAAACTATGTGAGGAGCTAAATGTAATGAGGTAAATAGCCAGAAACCTCTTTTTGAATATGCTTTGCTTATTCTAGTCTAAACAATCAATAGTCTTTGTTGTTAAATACTGTTGTTACTAAGCTTATACTAGATATCTAGTCTATTAACTAAAAGTTGATAAAAACTCGAGTGACAATCATCTTGTTTTGATCAAGCCATTTCATAGTATTTTTTTTTTGAGATTTCAATTCTCGTGAGAAGAAACAGAGAAGCACAAAAGTGATCGTATACAGCCATTTCTAGGCTATAATGAACCACCTTATTCAAGGGAAAGATCTGTCTGTTACAAACAGAAAACTGAACAGACACTGAGGTGAAGGCCTATAAGAAAGCTAAAGAGGAAAATAAATCTGAAAACAAGCAATCCCTCTTTGACATCTCACCATTCTTTCACTTTTTTTCTTCTCACAGCTTAAAACATTGAGAAACTTCAGTTAGTTCTTAAAGTATATTATAACAAGAATCCCAAATATAGGAATGGATATAAATTTCTATTCATGCATTAGATGTACGTTACATATACATGCACTAGCATTTTAATATGTACTGAAAGTGATTTGCTTCAAGTAGTTCTAACCCAAATAGAGAATAACCTTTGTAGGTAATAGGATGTATAATGGAATTATATCTGGTACTCCTTATTCATTTTTGAGGTGTATAAGGAAAGAGGACCAGGAAGATAGGGAAGATCCTCTGGAATGCTAGATTTTATAAAAAAAAAAAAAAAAAATGTTACTCCCTCTTCTCGTTATATTAGGGGACATGTGAAATTATTTGATAATGCCCTAGAGAATAAGGCAATGCTTGTAATAAAGTGGAATAAATCGTAACCAGATTTATAGGATAAATCTAAATATTCAATATATTTTCATTGTATTGCATACCATATATTCAGTACTAATAAAGTAATCTCTTCTGAAGATGCTATTTGTTTTGAGTATATGCTATATGCACAGTGAGTAAATCAAGATATTTTTGGTAGATGATTATAAAAATATTATAAGTTAAAAGATCATTGAAAATTTATATTGTATACCTATTTCACATTTGATTCATATAAAAAAGACAGTTAAAACAAACTATCTAATTTGAATAAATATGTACCCATTCTAAGTATCTTAATTTCACACTATTCCAAGTAATTACATGAACTGATTTTTTATAGCAAATATGAATAAGGCATTTATACACAGAAACAAAAGATGATATTAATCTCACAGAAGGATTTAACAGTTACATTCTGGAGAGAAGCTTCTTCCTGTCATCTACCTGTCAAATAAAAGTTCTTCCATACAACACTGATCTGACATCTATCACTAGAGGTATGCTCAAAGGATTCAGCCCAAAGATTTTTGCCAACTTCAAATGAAATAAAAATAATCTTGTGGGAAATGCTATCATGTAGTAATAGATGTTGTAAAAGAGAAGAAGCGAATGTTTTAAAATGCCCCCTTCCCCCCCCCCCACCACTTACCAGTAGGATTTTTATCTTCAGGGAAATACTTGTCATTAAGAAAGAGAAATATCATATATATGCATGATATTCCCCTAATGTCTAGGATTAAGAGGATGTTCCTGGAATACAAAGGATTCTAAGTGGATGTAAATGTCTAAAATGACAGAAATTTATGAAGTACATAGAAATAGTTAGCTTAGGTTTGTAATCTGTTCAAAAGTGAATTAACTACTGATGTATAATTAGCTAGAATTGCTGTTAAATTCCAGTTATATTATAAAAGATTACTTGGTTGATTTTTCTTAATTTGATTTTCTTAAAGAATAGCAGAGAGAACTGCCTTTGTAGAACACTGATTATGCTTCGAAAAATGGTAACATTTTCCCACCTAAATTATTCTAATGATAATTTCCTTTCTCAGTGAATTTAAAACTATAATCTGCTCTTCACAAGAAGCTACAGTATGTTAAAATATTCATGTACTTTTTTAAAAAGGAGCCATGGTGGGGCGCCTGGGTGGCTCAGGCGGTTAAGCAACTGCCTTCGGCTCAGATCATGATCCCAGGGTCCTGGGATCGAGCCCCACATCCGGCTCCCTGCTCTGCGGGGAGCCTGCTTCTCCCTCTCCCACTCCCCCTGCTTGTGTTCCCTCTCTCGCTGTCTGTCTCTCTGTCAAATAAAAATAAAATCTTAAAAAAAAAAAAAAAAGGAGCCATGGTATAAGCAGTTAAACTTATCAGATATAGCAGTAAAATAATATTAAAAATTCAGATGATCACAGTTGGCTCCTATAATATTTGGGAAGAAAAGGAAAACAGATGGGTTAACCTAAATGTCAAATATAACTAAATGGTATCATTACTATAAGTACTACCCTTACCACAAAATGCTTTGTTAATTTGCAGCTGTGAATTATCACTTTGTGAGTCCCCAAACCAGGTTTCTGAACTGTAATACAAGTCATTTCCATGCAGATGAATTCCTGATGTTAGCTTTGCCCCTGCTTGCCTGTTGGTTATTAAAATTCTAACCAATAGCAGGGGTGCACTTCAGGGTCATTTATTTATGTTTTCAGTTATATACAATAACATATAATCTGCATAAGAACAAAACATTTGAAAATCCTTAACACTCCCTAGGCACTAAGCTTTGTAGGTATATCAGATAAGGATCTTTGCAAACAAGGGGAAGTGATTCTGCCTGACTTAGGCAAAAAACAAACAAACAAAAGGAATACAGAATTTATCAGGAAGATATGAGATAGCTCAACCAGAAACTGAAGAAAGGCTGAATAATTTAGCCTTTAAAAAAGCAGCAACTGGGACGCCTGGGTGGCTCAGTGGGTTGAGGGTCTGCCTTCGGCTCAGGTCATGATCCCAGGGTCCTGGGATTGAGTTCCTCATCAGGTTCCTTGACCAGCCGGGAGTCTGCTTCTCCCTCTGCCTGCTGGTTCCCCTGCTTGGTCCCCCTGCTTGTGAGTGCTCTCTCTCTGACAAATATAATCATTTAATAAATAATTAATTAATTTTAAAAAGCAACAACGGCAGCAGCTTTGAGAAAACAGGGAGCAAGAACAAATGGAAAGTCTTTTCAGGAAATTGTCTTTGTGTGTATTAGCTCCAACAATTTTCCTACTCCTTTCCCTGAATTTGATTCAAATTCTTATTAGAAAGAGAGACTGATTGACCTAGTGTGGATTATAAGAATACTCCTTGTCCAAGGGAAGGCAAAGAACCTTGATTGAGAACACTACACCCTACACCAAGACTATCTGTGATGGAAGATGGGTCATGTCCTAAAGAATGCTGTTAACCAAAGATAGGGACACCAAAGATTAAGGGCAGGTGAAGGGGTATCAGGTAGGCCCAAACAAAGGAAAAACAAAAGAGATCATTGGTACACCAGGGGGATACAAACAATACAGGAAACACATAGAAACCTCAAGAAGCTAGTGGTATAGTTAAGTGGTCAGGAAATATACTACATATAGAGTATTACGTAGCATCGCAAGATACACTGTCAATGAGCACCAAGATTAATGACCATTGAGATTAACAGGACTTCAGAGGAGGGAGGAATTTTTGGTGATGGGGTGGGGATGGGCAATACTGTAAAATGGAACAGAAGGATCTTGAAGGAGAGGTAAAATTAGGTTAGATTATATAAGGGAAGAAGCCATAACCTTACAAGATTGGAGAATGCTGGACTCAGAACCTACCTTTTAGCTTCCATTTTGGCCATTACCAGCCAAATTTTCATGGCTGAGTCATTTACTCTCTCTGAACTCAGTTTCCTCACCTGTGAATGAGGAAATGCAGTGACCCTTGTTTATTTTGTTATGTAGGATTGTTTTTTGGGTCAAATAAAATGATTTTTGTCAGAGTTCTTTGAAAAATTATGTTAAATGGTTGTAGTTCTTTTTAATGATGGTAGATAACTAGGGATAATCATCATGTGTTTCAAGATGAATTAGAAAACCAGAATGTCTGGAATATTGGGTGTATATTGGAGACAAATGATAATGTTGGTAGGCAGATTGTGAGAAGATTTTGAGTTATTTGTATACTAGTTTGGATAACTTGCCTTCATAATTTTTTTAAATCATTCATTTCATAACTTATAAAGGCCATGAACCTTTCTTTTTCAGCCTTGAGTTAATATCCCCTTCACCCATACTATTACTTTCTAGTCATTCTAGTTGGACAGAGAGACATAACAAATCATGATACAATAGGATGATCTGCTTTTGGTTATACAGAGAACCTGAAGAAAACATTTCAGTTTACTATAGAGAAAATTTTATATATCTTACTTTAAGTCATAAGGATTAATAGGATAATGTAATTGTGTTCCTTTTTCTAAGATCCATCATTTCTATAAAGTATATGTAACATAAAAGACCTTATTTCCTAGAGACCATCACATGATATTAGTGACAGAATATTGTAGGTATTATGCCAAGTATACAAAGGAAAGTCTCCAACTCCCCCATAGAAGTTGTAAGAAGGAATGTAAAAAGGGTTCAGTTTTAATGAGAAATAGAAGATTAGTTACCAGACAATATGATTTCTAAAGAAAATGACTGCTGTCAATGGAAGCAAAATTTGGAAATATATAATCCAAGAGAAAATCTACAAAAAAACCTAGGAAAAAAGTCATATCTA